AGTTAGAGTCTCATTCTGTCGCTCAGGCTGGAGTGCGGTGGCATACTCACTACCACCCTAGTGTCGACCTGCTGGGGCTCCAGTGATCCTTTCGCTTCAGCCTTCCAAGTAACTGGAACTACAGGCTTGCACTACTACACCCAGCTAATTTTCTTTTGACTTATTGTAGAGATGGGGTCTCGCTAAATTGCCTGGCTGGTCTCGAACCTGCGGGCTCAGGCAATCCACCTGCCTTGGCCTCCCAAAGTGCTGGGATTACAGGCTGAGCCACCGAACCTGGTCTCATGACATTCTTTTTTTTTTTTTTGAGTTGGAGTCTCACTCTGTTGCCCAGACTGGAGTGCAGTGGCCGCTCCCGGCCACCGCAGCCTCGACCTGCTGGGCTCCGGCGATCCTTCTGCCTCAGCCTTCCGAGTAGCTGGAATTACAGGTGTGCTCTACCACGCCCGGCTGATTTTTTGATTTATTGTAGAGATGAGGTCTCGCTGCTTGGACGGGTCTCGAACCCACGGGCTCAGGCAATCCACTCACTTCAGCCTCCCAAAGGCGTGGGATTACAGGCTGAGCCACCGAACCCGGCTCTCATGACATTCTTAAAGAAAGTTGTATTCCTAGTTTATAGATTAAGAAGTAGATTAGGAGAAGTTCAGTAACTTTCTTAAGTCACACAAAAACAGAGCCAAGAGTAAAAGCTAGGTCTTTCTAATCCCAAATCTTATACTTTGTGCACAGCACACTCCTTTTTTTTTTCTTTTGAGTCAGAGTCTCATTCTGTCGCCCTGACTGGAGTGCAGTAGCATGCTTACAGTCATCGCAGCCTCGACCTGCTAGGCTCCAGCGATCCTTCTGCCCTAGCCTTTCAAGTAGCTGGAACTATAAGTGTGCACCACCATGTCTGGCTAATTTTTCTTGATTTATTATAGAGATGAGGTCTCACCAAGTTGCCCAGGCTAGTTTCAAACCCCTGAGCTCAGGCAGTCCCCTCACCTTGGCCTCCCAAAATACTAGGATTATAGGCGTGAGCCACCGCACCTGGCCCACACTCCTTTCAAATGTGAGTTGTCATATGGGGAGCTGTGTTGTTAGGACTGGGGTTGTGTCTGCACAAAGTCAACATTGGACAGATCAGATATTCTATGCTAGTCCCCAGCATTCTCAATTTCATTTATTCATTGTCATTCAACAAATATATTTTTAGCACTTGCCATGTGTTAGAGGACTTTATTCGTGTTAGAGGACTTTATTCGTGTTAGGGATACAAAAGTTATTTTGAGTGACTTAGGAAGTCATTGGTAGGTTTTGAGCAGATCGGCTGATATTTTAAAAGGTTTATTATGACTGCTGTGTGGAAAACACATTGAAGAGGGTCAAGGGCAAAAGCAGGGATGCTGTTTAGGGGATTACAAGAATAGTACAGGCAGGTCATGATGGAGACTTGGACCAGAGTTATTACAGAAGATGTATTTAGATATACAGCATTTTGAAGACAGAGAAGAGTCAAGGATGACCTCAAGGTTTTTGACCAGAGCAACTGAGAGAATCAAATTTTCTTTTACTGAGAGGGGTAGGACTGTGGGAAGAGCAGAATAGGTTGGATGAGTGAGTAGGAGGGAGAGGAATAGGGTGGTAGAGAAAAAGAATTTGATTTTGACATGTTATACTTATGATGATTGTTAGGCATTCAGTGAAAATGTGTAGGCAAATATATGAATCTGGTTGGGAAGACGTCTGGCGGTCTAGACATGTAACATTGGAAGTGGTCAGCATATCTATGGTATAAGTAATCAAATGCTGTTCACAGATTGATTTTATTCAAAAAAAGGAAATTGGGTCTTATTTTTTTTCCTTTTTCTGATGTGTCATGGTGAACAGATAGAATTTGAACTTTTTATTCTTTTCTCAGTTAACAGAAGATGAAATAGCTACAATATTACAATCAACTCTTAAAGGCCTGGAGTATCTTCATTTTATGAGAAAAATACACCGTGATATCAAGGCAGGAAATATTTTGCTAAATACAGAAGGACATGCAAAGCTTGCAGATTTTGGGGTAGCAGGTCAGCTTACAGTAAGTAAAAATGTTACTTGTATTTATAATTTTCAGTTCTGTCCTGAGAAGCAATTCTTTACCTACTTGTTTAAAATATGATACTTGACTTAATAGTGCTAGTAAAAATTATATAATCTACCAACAGGCTACAAAAGAGCTAGTAGGTTATTTTAGATCCTTTCCTTGGGTTCAGGTCACATGGTTTACTCCCCCTGCCCCCGAGACAGGGGTCTTTGTCACTCAGACTGGAGTGTAGTGGTACAATCATAGCTCCCTGCAGACTTGAACTCCTGGACTCAAGTGATCCCCTGCCTCAGCCACCTTGAGTAGCTGGGATAATAGACATGAGTCATGACATCTGTCTAACTTTGTTTAATTTTTATAAAGATAAAAACTAAAACAAGAAATGATAGTATACTCTATCGGCATATTTATAAAAGGTAGAAAAATTAAATCTGTCTTACTTTCCTTGAATAAGACATGACATCATCTCATTCAACTACCAGGTAGTACCTGGCAGTTACTATACTGAAAACTCTCTCCTTAAATCTGATTTTATAAAATACTTAAGTATATATGAAAGTATATATGGAAATATAGAAATAGTTCTAGACAGGTATACACCAAAATTTGCATCCATGTTGTACATCAAGTAGTTTTCTCGGGTGGTGGAATGCACACTATATATGTAGAGGGCGGGGGAGTTTGTTTACCACTGTATGTATGCTTTTTATTTTTTTATTTTAAATATGCTTGAGACATGTCAGTGAGTCTTATAGGTAACTACAACAGCACAGAATTTGCCTTGATGTTTAAAATCAGACGCTTATTCAGTATTGTGATTTGCAGGCCCTCCAAAAAATTTTGTTCTTAACATTCACAGGTGGCTGGGCATGGTGATTCTGTAATCCCAGCACTTTGGGAGATTGAGGTGGGAGGATTGCTTGAGGCTAGGAGTTTGAGACCAGTCTGGGCAACAAAGCTAGATCCTGTCTGTACAAAAAATAAAAAAATTAGCCAGATGCAGTGGCATACTCCTGTAGTCCCAGTTTCTTGGGAGGCTGAGGCAGGAGAATCCCTTGAGTTCAGGAATTTGAGATTGCCGTGAGCTGTGGTCATGCCACTGCATCCTAGCTTGGTCAACAGAGTAAGATTCTGTTTCTAAAAAAACAAGCAAATAAAAAGTCACAGATAAGCAGTACCACACAATATTATCTAAACTACAGTCTTTGTAAGGAAACCAAATTGAAATATATTATCTGGTGCTGTATAAAAACATATTAAAATTAAGAATATCCATTCCATTTAGTAATAATTTTAGTAATTGGTTGATTCCTCAAAAGTTACTTATATTGTTCTTATTGCTATAATGCCTGCCTTTCTCCCCTTTTGATGTGTACAGTTCAGTGTTTTTAGTATATTCACAAAATTGTGCAGCTGTCACCACTATCAAATACTAGAACATTTTCATCATCCACAAAATAAACTGTACCCTTTAGCAATCACTCCTCATTCTTCCTGCTATAGGTTTACCGTTTCTGAATATTTCATATAAATAGTCATATAATATATGACCTTTTGCTTCTGGCTTCTTTCATTTGATGTAATGTTTTAGAGGTTTATCCATGTTGTAACATGCATCAGTACTTCATTCCTTTTTATGGCTGGATGATATCCCATTGTACAGATATACCACATTTTGTTCATCTGTTCATTGGTTGAACAGATTTGGCTTGTTTCCACTTTTTGGTTATTATTAATAATGCTACTATGGGATTTGTTTACAGATTTTTATGTGTTTAACATTTTTTTTTTTGAGTTGGAGTCTTACTCTGTTGCCTAGACTGGACTGCAGTGGCATGCTCACGGCTACTGCAGCCTGGACCTTCTGAGCTCAGGTGATTCCTCTGCCTCAGCGTTCCAAGTAGCTGGAACTACAGGTGTGAGCAACCATGTCCTGCTTATTTTTAAAAAACTTATTGTAGAGACAAGGTCTCACCAAGTAGCTCAGGCTGGTCTTGAACCCCTGGCCTCAGGCAATTCCCTCCCAAAATGCTGGGATTACAGGTGTGAGCCATTGTACCTGGTCTCTATGTTTAACTTTTTAAAGATCTGCCAAACTTTTTTCCAAAGTGGCTCACCATTTTACTTTCCCATTACTGATGTGTGAGTGTTGTAATTTCTTCACATCCTTTCCAACACTTGTTATTTTCTGTGTTTTTTATTGTAACCATCCCAATGGGTGTGAGGTAGTATCTCTCTGTGGTTTTGATTTGTATTTTATTTTATTATTTTATTTTATATTTTTTGAGTTGGAGTCTCTCTCTGTCGCCCAGGCTGGAGTGCAGTGGCACACTCACGGTCACCCCAGTGTTGACCTGCTGGGCTCTGGTGATCCTTCCACCTCAGCCTTCCAAGTAGCTGGAACTACAGGCACACGCTACCATGCCTGGCTAATTTTTGATTTATTGTAGAGACGAGGTCTCACCAAGTTGCCCGGCTAGTCTTGAACCCGTGGGCTCAGGCAATCCAGTTGCCTCGGCCTTCCAAAGTGCTGAGATTACAGGCTGAGCCACCAAGCCTGGCTGATTTGCATTTTATTAATGACTAATGATGTTGATTATCTTTTCTTATGTGAGGCGAATAGGATAACCACTGCTTATGGAAACCAGACTCTTATGTCTATTGGACATTTGTAGTCTTCTTTGGAGAAATGTCTGTTTAAATCTTTTACCCATTTTTAATTGGGTTATTTATCTTTTTATTGTTGAATTGTAAGAATTCTTTTTTTTTTTTTTTTGAGAAACAGGGTCTGGCTGTGTCACCCAGGCTGGAATGCAGTGGCTTGATCATAGCTCACTGCAGCCTTGAACTCCTGGATTTAAGCAATCCTCCCTCCTCAGCCACCTGAGTAGCTGAGACTACAGGCACTTACCACTGTACCTGGATATTTTTTTAGTTTTTATAGAGATGAGGTCTCACTATGTTGCCCAGGCTGGTCTCGAACTCCTGGCCTCAAGCCATCCTTCTGTCTCTACCTGACAAAGTGCTAGGATCATGGGCATGAGCCACCATGTCCTGCCAAGTTGTAAGAATTCTTTGTATACTTTAGATACAAGTTCCTTATCAGGTGCATGATTTGCAATTATATTCTTCTATTCCTTTGGTAGTCTTGAAGATATCCTTTGAAACCCCAAATTTTAAAATTTTGATGATGTCCAGTTGCTTTTTCCTTTTGTAGCTTCTACTTCTGGTGTCATAGCTAAGAAATCTTTAGCTAATGCAAAGTCATGAAGATTTATTCCTATGTTTTCCTTGAAGTGTTTAATAGTTCTAGCTTTTATGTTTAGATCTGTGATCTATTTTGAGTTAATTTTCATGGTGTCAGGTAGACATTTCATTTCATTCTTTTTGCGTGTTGATATTGAGTTGTCCCGACACTATTTGTTGAAAAGACTGTTGTTTCTTCCTTGAAGTGTGTGTTGGCACACTTGTTGAAATCACATGATCATAAACGTATAGGTTTATTTTTGGGATTTCGATTCTATTTCATTGACTAATATGTCTATCCTTGTGCCAGTACCAGGCCGTCTTAATTACTGTACTTTGCAGTAGGTTTTGAAATCTGTTAAGCATGAGTCCTCCTACTTTGTTCTTTTTCAAGATTGTTTTGGCTATTGTAGGTCTCTTGCATTTCCATATAAATTTTAGTATCAGCTTGTTAATTTCTGTAAAAAAAAAAAAAGGCCATTGAGCTTTTGATAGCAGTTGTGTTGAATCTTAAATTCATTTGAAAATATTGCTATTTTAACAGTATTAAGTCTTCCAATCCATGAACATGAGATGGCTTCCTATTTAGGTTTTCCTTAGTTTCTTTCAGTAATGTTTCATAATTTGCAGTGTACAAGTCTTGCATATATTTTGCTAAATGTATTCCTAAGTAGTTTGGTCTTTTTGATGCTATTTAAATGAAATTGCTTTGTTTTCAGATTGTTCATTACTAGTCTATAGGAGTACTATTGGTTTTTGTATAATATCTTATATTCTTCAATCTTGCTGGACTCTTTTTTTTTTAAATTTACAATAAGCATGTATGTTATTTTGCTAAAGAAAAAATGAGATTTTTTTTCCACTCAAAAGTGAAACTGTAGTGTAGAATGATGCTGCTGGTCTGTGTTGTTGGGAAACTTCCAGTGCTACTGAGTTAAGGTTCTTCTCTGGTCTCTTATCTAGATAATTTAGGCCTTGCTGACAACCTTCTGAGAAGTGATAGTGATGGTGGTGGGGATTGTTAGCATATAAATGCCCATTTAATGTTCCTGATTAATAATATAATCCATACTTTACAGTCTAGAGGTCTTGAGTTTCACTCTCCAGAGGGTACACCTGTAGTTTAATGCCAGGGTGGGGCAAGTTGCTTGATATAAGGTTTAGGGCTCTTGACTGCATCTTAACTGTCTTTCAATGCAGTCTTCCTGTTCTTAGATTCACTTTCACCCCTCTTCTTGGTACCAGATGCCACCAGTTTCTAAACCTTTGGAGGGGTTGGTGTTAAAATCAAATTGTTTCCTTGTTTTTCTGATGAGTGACTTAGGATTCCATTTTACAGTCTGTTCAGTTACCTCTTGACCATCTGCTTTCAAGCTTTCAAATGATTGTGACTGTGGTTGTTTTCCCTTTTATTTTTGTTCTTGTGGATTTATTCATTTAAATAATCATTTTAGTCTCTTTTAGTGGGTTTTGAGATGGAGCAAAAGCAAAATGTATCTGTTCAATCTGTCATCTTTACTCAGGAATCTATAATATTCCTTTCTTTTCTTTTTTTTCCTTTTCCTTCCTTCCTTCTAGTTGGGGTCTCACTCTGTCACCAGGCTGGAGTGCAGTGGCGTGATCATGGCTTAATGCAGCCTCAGCCTCCTGGGCTCAGGCAACCCTTCCTCCTCAGTTTCCTGAGTAGCTGGGACCACAGACATGTGTTACTATGACTGGCTAATATATATATATATATATATATTTTTTTTTTTTTGTAGAGACAAGGTCTTGCTATGTTGCCTAGACTGGTCTTGAACTCCTGGACTCAAGCAATCTTCTTGTCTTGGCCTCCCATAGTGCTGGGATTATAGGTGGAGACACCTTGTCCAGCCAATGTTATTTCTGATGGCAGCATTGGCATATCATTGTATGGATGTATGATAATTTTTTTTAATTCATTCTCTACAGTTGGGTACCCATTTAGGCTGCTTATAGTGTTCCTACCATCATAAACATAAATTCTGGGATAAACATTCTTGTAATTAAATTTTTTAGCTTTTCCTTGAATATATTCTTAGGATAACTTCTTTGCATTGGAATCTGGCCCAGAAAATCTGTGAAATTTTAAGCCTTTTGATGCAAATTGCCAAAATACTTCTAGAAGTGAACAATTTCTGCTTCCAGCTATAGTATATAAATGTGCCCCTTTCATATTTGCCAATTCTGGATGAGCAATAAATTGTATCTTCCTTGTTTCAAAACAATTAAGAATATGAATAATCTATGAATATAAGAATAATCAAATATAATATATTTGGTTATCGGCCATTTGTAACTATCCTTTTGTGAATAAACTGTTCTTTTTTTGGGTCAGTTTTCTGAATTGAGTGTTGGATCTTTTTAAAAAGTTTAAAAAGATAAAACAAAACCAAAGAAAGTTATGTTACACTTGTTACTCTGTTGTTATGATGTTGAAACATCTTTTCCTAGTTTGCTAATTATCTTTCAATTTTGATTATGGTTTTAAAAAAATACTACTGAAGTTTCCAAATTTTATATAGAAAATTTCATCTGCCTTTTATGCCTTTCCTGCCTTTGATGTCATGCTTAAAAAGTTCTTTTTTGCTCAAACGTTATAGAACTGTTCATCTTTATTTTTTTTTTAGTATTCTTTTGGGTTTTGTTTTTTATATTTAAAATTTCAACCTATTTGAACTTACTTTGATGAAATTATAAGGTAAGAAAATGCCCAGTGCTTTTTTCCTTCATAATCTATCCGTTGTTGCTTATTTTAAATGACATTTTAATTATATCTTATATGTGTGGCATATATAACAGACTGTGTTATATGTGTGCGTATGTGTGTGTGTGTATATGTATGTGCTACATTCTGTTTCTGTACTTAGTATTTTTCTTTCCTATGCTCTCATACTAATATAACTTTGGAGTTAGTATCTGTTCATTGCTCCTATTAATTTTCTTTTCTTTTTTTTTGAGTTGGAGTCTCACTCTGTCACCCAGACTGGAGTGCAGTGGCCACTCCCGGCCGCCACAGCCTCGACCTGCAGGGCTCTGGTGATCCTTCCGCCTCAGCTTTCCAAGTAGCTGGAACTCAGGCATGCGCTACCACACCCGGCTGATTTTTTTGATTTATTGTAGAGATGAGGTCTCACCAAGTTGCCCAGGCGGGTCTCGAACCTGCGGGCTCAGGCAATCCACTCACCTCAGCCTCCCAAAGTGCGGGATTACAGACTGAGGCACCGAGCCTGGCTGCTCCTATTAATTTTCAAAAAATTTCTGGCTATCCAAGTATCCATTTTTAATTGAAATAATCTGGTAAAAGCAACTTTGACTACCACAGTTTACAAACACCCCTTGCAGTTTGAAGTGTCAGAGCTAAGGAAATGACTAAGCAGTAAGTTAATTTCTGTGTTAATTTTTGCATAGGACTGACAATGAGATCAATTTGAAAGTATTACCTGTCATTTGCTTCTGACTGGCCTAACCTGTCACAGGCATTTCAAAAGAAACATCAGTGATATTCATGGGATGTCCTTCTGCATATTTAGTTCTGTTTAAAAATCCTTCTCTTCCTTCAGAAAATTAGCCAGGTGTAGTGGTGTATACCTGTAGTTCCAGCTACTTGCTAGGCTGAGGTGGAAGGATTGCCTGAGTCCAGGAGGTTGAGGCTGTGGTGAGCCCTGATCATTTCACCGCAATCCAGCCTGGGTGTCAGAGTAAGACCTTGACTCAAAAAACCAAAACAAAACAAAACAAGAAACTCTTTGTCCTCCTAAAGTTTAGGAACTATAGAGTGGTTACGTGCCATAATGTGTACTATATCCACGTGTTCTTCTTTAAGCCACAAACTAAGACTTTTACATATCATTTTTAAGTCAATTTAAAAATGTCCTGGTATGTAATACATATTCATGTAAACATTAGAATGTTACAGAAGTATACAGAATGGAATGCAAAAGTCTTCTGCCTTCTAGATATAACTGTTAATAGCTTGGTGTGTATTACTCCAGATATTTTTTGCTATGATATAACATTTTTTATTGATTATTGTTATGATCATTACTATATGTATTTTCATTTTATAAAAACAAAGTTATTGTATATAATTTTACAATCCAATTTTTTTGCTTTGCAATGTATGTTGTACATTTTTTCCGTGCTGGGAAAAAAAGTATATGTCTTCTTTTTTTCTTTTTAATGTGATGTTTCAGTATATGGATATTTATTGTATTTAACTTTTTTCCTGTTGATGGTCATTTCCTTTTTCTCCTCCTCCCCCAAATCAGAAACATTTCTGTATTCCTTGTGCACATAAGATACATTTCGAGAAGTAGATTTGGATCAAAGGATATGGACATTTAAAAGTTTAATAAATACTGCCAACTTGTTTATTAAAAAGTTGTATCAATTTGTATTGTCATAACATTGTATTTCAGTGCCTGATTTTCTGTGCTGTTATCAACACTAGTTATTATTAATTTAAAAAATTTTTGTCAATCTTATTTTATTTTATTTATGTTATTTATTTATTTATTTTTTGAGTTGGAGTCTCACTCTGTCACCCAGACTGGAGTGCAGTGGCCGCTCCCGGCCACCGCAGCCTTGACCTGCTGGGCTCTGGCAGTCCTTCTGCCTCAGCCTTCCGCCTCAGCCTTCCGAGTAGCCGGAATTACAGGCACGTGCTACCACGCCCGGCTAATTTTTTTGATTTATTGTAGAGATGAGGTCTCGCCTGCCCAGGCGGGTCTCGAACCCGCAGGCTCAGGCAATCCACTCACCTCAGCCTCCCAAAGGCGTGGGATACAGGCTGAGCCACCGAGCCCGGCTGTCAATCTTATTTTAGTTTGTGTTTTAATAATTAAGAATCTTGTGGTTTTGATTATTTGAATTTCTTTGGTGACTTGCTTGATCATTCCTTGAGTGTGGTTTTTATGTATTTCAAGAACAAGCCTTTTTTTAGTATTGGAAAAGTCTCTTTCTCAGTAGTCTTAATGTTTAGTTTTGATCTCTCACCTTTCTGTTTTAGGATACCATGGCCAAGCGGAATACAGTGATAGGAACACCATTTTGGATGGCTCCAGAAGTGATTCAGGAAATTGGATATAACTGTGTGGCAGACATCTGGTCCCTGGGAATAACTGCCATAGAAATGGCCGAAGGAAAGCCTCCATATGCTGATATCCATCCGATGAGGGTAGGGACATGAACAGAAAGCCATTGGGGTGGTTAGTTACTGACCATCATCAGAAAGTTATTTCAGTGGCTTAGTTGGTTAGGTTCCAAACAATAAACGAGTTAATTGTATATCACTGATCAGTGTCACTGTACATGTACTTCCACTGACTCTGGTTGTAGTCATTAATTAATCAAAGTGTATTCCACCCCTCTCCATTCTGGAGGTCATGTATTGATAGCACTTTGGCAGGACATAGGCCTTTGAAGTGCTTAGTTTGATTAGTATGCACACACATACTCTCTCTCTCCCTCTCTCTCTCTCTCTCTCTCAATAATGTTAGGTACCCACATTTTAACCTGAGAACTTTAGCTGAAGCTGAATAGTGGTTGTCTCCTTTATATAGGGCATGAGTTTTCCACTTCACCAGTTTCTATGATTCCCTGTTCTGTCACCAAGTATTAACTTCCACTTATTACAGTGTTTTCTCTTACATTTTTTTTTACAATAGTCTTAAGAGGAAAGCAAACTGTTTTTTTGAACTTATGTCACTAAAGTCCAGCCTGGTTCATTGGTTGTCTTTTTCCTGCCTTTCCTCTACAGGTGTTTGAACTTGTGAGTTCTGGTTTGTGGATCCCTAGACTCTTTACCTGGAGGTTCTGCACTCTAGAGTAGTGGTCCCCAACCTTTTTGGCATCAGGGACCGGTTTTGTGAAAGACAGTTTTTCCATGGACGGGGGTGGGGAGAATGTACCATTAAACCTCACTGCTAATGCTAATCTGTATTTGCAGCCATTCCCCAGTGCTAGCATCACTGCCTCAGCTCTACCTCAGATCATCAGGCATTAGATTCTCATAAGAAGCACGTAATCTAGATCTCTTGCATGTGCAATTCACAATAAGGTTAGCTCTCTTGTGAGAATCTAATGCTGCTGCTGATCTTACAGGAGGCAGAGCTCCACTTGCTGGCTGCTCACTTCCTGCTGTGTGGCCCTGCTCCTGACAGGCTGTGGACTGGTACCAGTTTGCTGCCCTGGGGTTGCAGAATCCCTGCTCTAGAGTGTTAAGGGCCCATTGACTGTACCTCCAGTGAAACTCCCTCAGTGTTGACACCCTAAAGGATTTCCAGGCTTTACCCACCTGCAGAACTCCTTATCACAGCACTGTTGTAAGACCTCAGCCCTGCCTTCCTAAGGGTCTTCATTGTCCTCTCCATCCCTCCCAACCCTAGCTCCTCCCCTCTTCTCTGATTAGTTTTTCTATTAAAAGACTTAACAGTTTTTAAAAGTATTCTTGTGCTCAAAGACAAGGTCCTGCTCTTTTTTGAGGGGCAGAAGTGGGGAAAAACAGGGAGTTTCACTGGTTGTATTTTTAGATTCAGAGAATATAATTTAAGGGCCGGGCAGTTTGCTCACATCTGTAATCCCAGCACTTTGAGGAGAGGCTGAGACAGGAGGATTGGTTGAGCCTACGAGTTCAGCACCAGCATGGGCTGGTAGAGACCTCAACTCTACAAAAAAAAAAAAATTAGCTAGGCAGGTTGGTGTGCCTCAGTAGTCCCAGCTACTTGGGAGGCTGAGGCAGAAGGATTGCTTGAGCCCAGGAGGCTGAAGCTGCAGTGAGCTGTGAGCATGCCACTGTACTCCAGCCTAGGCAACAGAGTGAGATTTTGACTCAACAAAACCCCCAAACAAGCAAACAAACAGAAAAACAATTTAAACTGCTTATTGTAAAGAGTTTTATTTTTCAGAAATCATGATTCTTCCTTTATTGGAAATTCAATAAATAATGGTCTTATTTTTTGAAATAGAATTTAGCTGCAATGTAGTGGGCCAATTTTTATTTTTTAAATTATTATTTATTATAGAGATGTGGGGTACAATTCAGGGTTAGGTATAAAAACATTGATCATGCAGGTATCCTTGTTGATGAGATATGATCCTCCCTCCCCTAGCAAACAAACAAAAAGAAGTTTCCCTCAACTGCCAATGCCACCCCCCTCCCCTGACAGTTTTCCACTACCGCCAGTCGCTTCCTTATAGCATTATACTTGTTCAAGGTCAGCTTATGAGTGAGAACACATGGAACTCCGTTCTTTGTTTCTGTGATAAATCACTGAGTATGATCGACTCCAAATCCATCCAAGTTGCTGCAAAGTCCATATATTTGTCCTTCTTTATGGCTGCATAATATTCTGTTGTGTATATGTACCACATTTTTAAAATCCAGTCTAGCTTCGATGGGCAACATGGTTGGTTCCATGTTTTTGCTATTGTGAATAGAACTGCAACAAACATACGTATGCAGGTATCTTTTTCGTAGAATAATTTGAGTTCCTCCGGGTATATTCACAATAGGGGAATTGCTGGGTCATATGGAAGGTCAATTTCTAGTTCTTTCAGAAATCGTATGGGCCAATTTTTAATTGTTTTTTTCCCCCTGGTAGTATGATTTGATGTGGTTTGGAGGTTAGTGACTCCCTTGAGATTTGGGGACTTCTAGTTGATGACCTCATTGTAGTCCAGGGGAGGTTGTGACTTTTAAGGAGGAGGGAAACTTGACAACTTTGGGGCTGAACTGTCTTCAGAATATGGATACTCTTACCTTTTTACTTTGAAAGGCAATGTGACTATTGATGTGAGGTTTAGGGGATGAGACAGCATATGAGAGAGGGAAAGGGAGGGAGAGAGATATATCGTTTCGTTGTCATACTTTCTACTTTGAAATACTTAGACTTTTGTTGGAATTTGAATAGGCTTATCAGTGGATAAGTAAAAATCATTTTACCATGCTTCATATATAATTCCAGACATATTTGTTATTTGAGCATAACATTTATTTTACCAAATCTTCTTTTTGTTTGTTTGTTTTAACCAGGCAATCTTCATGATTCCTACAAACCCTCCTCCCACATTCCGAAAGCCAGAGCTATGGTCTGATAACTTCATGGATTTTGTTAAGCAGTGTCTTGTAAAGAGCCCTGAGCAGAGAGCCACAGCTACTCAGCTTCTACAGGTATGAGTCACCCCGTGATGCAGCCTCTCTCCATTTCATTCACCTGCTGACCAAAAGATGCCATGAAACCACCTACATGGAGATGGTAAAGAAGTGTAAGACATTCTCTCCTATAGGGAGGTTTGAATCTATTTGAGTAGAAAAGATATGGAAGAAGAATGTTAAATTTTTGAATAAGACAGTAATGCAAGAAAACACAGTGCTGTATGGGACTAGAGAAAGGGAATTGGCGTTTAGTGAGCACCTGCTTTGTGCCACATCCTTTCCGCATGTTATGCCATTTAATCATCACATAGACCCTGTGAGGGGTGGCTATTCCAGTTTTATAGATGAGGAAATGGAGCTTAGGGAGGTTTACTCATATGGAGCCACTCTGCTGATAAATAGCAGCACCAACATGCGAACCTGGGCCTTTCAGATTCCAAAGCGGGAGTACCATCAAGTCTACCCATTTCTGACAAATAATTAAGATCAGTAATAGGTGCTGTTATAGTTGAGGATAAGAGGGGGCTACTTTGGACTGGAGACATAAGACCAAAGACGAGAGGGGTTTGGTAGGCAGTATGCTTAGTGGATAGGAACTTGGATTCTAAAGTCAGACTGCCCAGGTTTGAATCCTTGCTCCCTATTTACTGTCTTTGTGACCTTGGGCAGGTGACTTAACCTCTCTGTTTCTTCATTTTTCTTATCTCTAAAATGGAGATAAAATTTCTGACTCATGTTGAGATGAGTCATTGATATAATGTATGTAACTTTGAACAGTGCTTTATGCATATTGAAGATAGTATGGTATGGACTTGATAAGTTTCTGCTATTATAACAGGGTTAGGCCAGTGGTTTTTATCCATTTTAGACCCAATACCACCTTTTAATAATCAATATATATTTTTAAAAAAGATTCACTGATTGATTCAGCAAATATTTTCAAGTACCTACTTTTTGCCAGGCACTATTTGCCACTGTCACCATATAAACTGTCTCTAGTGTTTTTCATTTCCTTGTTTAAGCACCCATTTGTCAAGAGTGCCAAAGGAGTGTCAGTGCTGCGAGACTTAATTAATGAAGCCATGGATGTGAAACTGAAACGCCAGGAAGCCCAGCAGCGGGAAGTAGACCAGGATGATGAAGAAAACTCAGTGAGTGGTGGGCATTGCTGTGGCCCTCAGATATTGATGATTGTTATTTCATGACTGCCAAGCCAAGTAAGACAAGTAGGATAAGTTGGATCCACCTGAAGCCTGGAGACTGTTCTTGCATGATTGTTTCCTAATCTGGATCAAGGCATGCCAGAACCTTGTTGAATCTATGCTTGTTCTTCTCATAGTGCTTCGTAAAACACTTTTAAATTTCACTTTTTGACCCCATATCTTTTTTTAATCTAACTTTTCATTTTGGAGAGGATATGCTCACGTCTGTGACTTGGTTTTTCCTTACCATATTGGGGAATCTAGGATCCATACTTAACATGTAGTTTCTACACTTACAGACTCTCGCAACCCTGAGATTCCAAAGGTGTTCATATTAGCTTCTTCCATCTATGTTGCAAAATCTATTAAGAAAGATAGAGCAAGAAATTCTTTAGGGTTAGATAGGTGCTGTCATATGGGTCATATCAATTTATGATCTTTGCTTAAGTAAGTGTGCTTTCAATTCTGCAAGGTGAGTTTAGAGCCTGAATAAATGTCACATCAGAAATATTTACACTAAGATTAAGAAAACTCAAAGTTTTTTAATCAAATTAACCCCAGTTTGAGATTTTGTCCTTTTACAGGAGGAGGATGAAATGGATTCTGGCACGATGGTTCGAGCAGTGGGTGATGAGACAGGTACTGTCCGAGTAGCCAGCACCATGAGTGATGGAGCCAATACTATGATTGAACACGATGACACATTGCCATCACAGCTGGGCACCATGGTGATCAATGCAGAGGATGAAGAAGAGGAGGGGACTATGAAAAGTAAGGCTTTGAGTAAATCTACTAACTTCTCAGGCAAAGCATGCATAGTTCAGAGAAGATGAGTTCTCATGATCCATACAGGCCTAGTCTTGAATTCCTGCTTCTGTTACCACAACCAGTGAAGTAAAAACACTGGATGTTTGTGGTGAGGACAGGAGGTTTGAGGAGCGAGAAAGCCGGCAGGTGGAGTCAGAGGCAAGAACGCATCAGCAATGAGAAGGGATTTTGCTTTTGAACCTGAACAGCCATTGTATCATTGCATGTTTTCATGTTTTCCTTCTTTACCTTGATTTGTGAAGGCAAGTACATGTGTTGTTTTGATGCATAATTTCTTTCAAAGTATAATGAAATTCTGAGCTGTTTACTGCACATATATCTTCAGTTTATTATCATGATGGTCTGTGTATTTAACCCAGGTTTACTAACACTCTTGTCAGTTGGTTAAAGATGACAGTACAAGTTTAAAAGTTCTATAAAGTTTCCTCCAGCTTAAACCCATCTCTGCTTCTTTTTGTATCTGGCTGAGCGTTTTTTGCCCATGACTAGGCCTGACTCCTGTGTTCTGCTCCTGTCTTAGAGTGCCATGGTCTCCTTTCTTATTCAGCTATTGCCCTTTCCCTTATTCTGTGTATAAGGGAAACTCACAGAGGAATGGACACAGAGGAATGGAATTTAGCCCAACTCACAGAAGAATGGAATTTGGGAGTACGGAGTGATAATAATAGGTACAGTTTAGCTTAAACTTTGCATAAGTTTAAAGCAGTAAGTCTCTGTAATCTTTTTATCTTTCTTTTTAAAAATGTTAAGACCTTTCCTCTAAACCAGGGATTGGCAAACTATAATCCTTGTGCCAAATTTGACCTGGTGCCTGCTTTTGATAATAAATTTTATTGAACCACAGCCATATCCGTTCATTTATGTGTTGTCTTTGACTGCTTTTGTGCTACAAAGGCAGAATCGAGTAGTTGTGACAGAGACCATATAGTCCCCAAAACCTTAAATATTTGCTGTCTGACCTTTTATAGAAATAAGAAAACCTTTATAAATAAATAATAAATAAATAAATAAAGCTTTTTGCTAGACCTGTTGTAGACCTGCTGCTTTGTGATTAATGAATTCATTCAATCAATTTTTTTTTTTACTACTGCATCCCAAAGACTTTGTCAGGTGCTGAGGATACAGCAGGGAATGAAGAATCGATCCTTGTCCTGAAGGAAATCATTGTTTAGTCTAGACCATTAATTACAATTCAGAATATGAAATGAGTTCTAAAATAGGGATAATCTGCGGGTGTTGTCAAAGCAGAGTGGAAGAATACTTAATTTAGACTGGGGATTACTGAAAAATTCCTGGAGGGAAAAGGCAGAAAGACTGGCAGTACATAGGTGATGTTCCAGTAGAGGGAGCAGCGTACACAAGATCTTAGAGGCAAGAGAAACGGGAGTGAATTCAGAGAAACTGTAGGGGACTTATTGTAACTTTAATGGACAGTTCCAGGGCTGTGGCTCTCAGGTATCCTCTCTTATCTTCACCTTGGTCTGATCTGTATATTGACAGAACTTCGTTTGTAAAGACAGATTTTTCAAATTTCTGTTTTGGAGCCCAAGCTTATCTCGTTTGTGGTCAGAACAGATGATGAAAGTGTGGTAATAGTGTTAGTGAATACATAAATTGGTATAACTTTTCTGGAATGTAGTATGTATCAAGAATTTTAAAAGTTCATACCTTTGACCCAGTAAATTCTACTTCTAGAAATCTGGTCCAAGAAAATAATTGAAGATATAGACAAATTATATTCAAGAATTTTTCTGATCATGTTACTTATAGTTGTAAAAAAATCTGGATGAATTTAATTATGCATAGTAGCATAATAAGTTATTTGTTCAACCCTGGTATACAAGTAAAGTATTTTTTGTAGTAGTTAGCTCATGCTGGCCAGAGTACAGTATTTGTCTTTTAACCTTTAGTGTCCAATAAAAGCACTGTTTTTGAACGTTTCTTGAGTCAACTTCTTTCTGTCCCCATCAGTGTAGTTATATGATTTATTTGTAATACAGTTAGAGTCACTTCTCATAGCCTGCATCTACCTTAGTTGTCACTGGTATGATTATATATGTATTTTAAATTTTATTTTCTAAATTTTCTAGCATTATTATCAGAAAAAATCCCACCCAAAATACTGCTGATGTCATAGCATATCCTGTAAATTGGAACTTTGAATTCTGCATTGCCTTAAGAATTCTTTTTTCCTCTTACTCTTATCACTTTTTTTTTTGGCATTAAAAATGGATGCTTACAAAGTATTTATAGAACCATTGTCAGGCCCTCTGCTAGTCTCTACATTCTTATTTTATTCAGTGCTCTTAGTTTATGTTAAATCTCCTAAACTCAAGATTAAAGCATCCTAGAAATATTGTGTTTAGTGTTAAATAAACTATCAACTAAATGCTATGTACTAGATATCCAACTGGGTGTGGTGGTTCACTCCTGTAATCCCAGCACTTTGGGAGACCGAAGCGAGAGGATTGCTTGAATCTAGGAGTTTGAAACCACCCTAGGTGACATAGCAAGATTTCATCTCTACAGAATAAAAAAATTAGCTGGGGATGAATTACTTTCTTTTTTATCAGTACTAAAATTGTTACAAGATTGGTGGTACAATAATTCTTTATAAAGTTAATAAGAATAGAAGCAAAAAATATCTAACTTCTCCAAGACAAGAAATTCCTTTTTTAAGAATGATCTATAAAATAAATGAGTCAGTTGTCAAAAAGTTCAGAAAAAATTCTGACCTAAATATCCTAAATAATAAATTATGAATGCAAGAGTCTTCTCATTTTCATGTTTAAGTTTCTTTAAAATCACAAACTAAAATTAGATTCTACAAAACTAATGCAAATAATTATAGTCATATGTATGTCTTTCCTTGTTAAGTACTATATATGGGAGATAACCACTATCTTTTCTTAAAAGACCATTTTTTAAGAGAAGTTTTAGATTCACAGCAAAATTTTATTATTTCTTTCCTTAGATTATTTTCAGTTCTGAATTGTACTGTGTGGTACAGCCAAGGGAATTGTATTTTAGAAGTTGACTTTTTCCATCCCTTACCTAAGCAGAAACAATTCCCAAGCCATCTCCTCAGTCTTCTAGGTGGGGTTTGTTCTAGCTCCTATCTTTATGCTGGGAATTGAGTTCTAGCTCCCCCCTGTATAAGTATATCTGGGCTCTGCCTTATCCTGATTCCTATTTCTATACAATGCTTAAAAGTAAAGTCCCTGTGGTTAGTTTTCCTAGTAGACTACTCAGCTCAGTATTGTTGGTTCCTTTTTTGCTTTTGGCATCTGGAGATTTTCCTTTTCTGGTTTTGAGTGCTCCCGTTTTTGTTTGGTTTTGAGTCTTGAATTTTAGAACAGGAAGGGAGGCCTCTAGCATTTTAGCTCATTCAGTCGTCTTAACTGTCTACAGAAATGATGTTTCTACACTTTCTCTATAAGGTAACAGGTTCAGAGTGGTTGTTACTTGTTCATGATCACAGGCTAGTAAGTGGTGGAACTGGGAATTGAAAGCACTTTAGAGTGTAGTTCTTTCATTCCAATGAACTTCTGTTTTGTTTTGGTTGCCTACTCTTAATGTTCGTAGATATCCATAATATAAAATTCATCAAAGTTAATGGTCATTTTGGTGCTGTCTTTTAAAAAATTTTTTATTTTCTTTGGTGCTGTGCTGTCTTTCGATGAGATTTCAGGGACATCTTTTGTTTCTTTGAAACAACTATTTGTTACATGTAAGTTTTTTTTTTATTATACTCAGTAGGATAGATGTTATAACTGTCAATAGTAGTTATTAGTGATTAGGCACTTAATATATGCCAGACACTGCTTAATCCTTTATAAGAATTATACATATTTTAATCATTACAACCATGCTGTCGGGTAAATCACTTCCTGTTTTACAGAAGTTGAAACTGAATTGTGAAGAGATTAAGTAATTTGCTTATGGTTGCAAAATGAGTAGCAGAAGAGCTAACATTTGAAACCTAGATATGTTTAATTTCAGAGCTTGTGCTCTCAACCATTATATTAATGCAACTTCTAGCAGAGACCCTTTGTCAAGTTGTTGGAAGCCAGTACTAAGGCTTATGTTACAGGTCATGTGTTGGTAAGTCTTAGTTTATGGTTATATATATATCTTTCCTTGCTGGTTGTTTTAATAACCAGCTACTCTACATGTGTTCCCATGATTTCCAGAAGGAAAGAACAGATGGTTTTCAAAGGGAGCATGCCTCCGATAAGCTAATGATATTGTTATATCTGAGGGAATTTGTTTTGGATGTGTATACCTGAGTCTATAGTAAGGAGGCATATTGCAGTTGGAAGTAAGGGAATAAAGGTGAGGTGGGATTTGATAGCTTTTTAAGTGACCTCAGGAATACATGTAAGAACCATATTGGCAAACCATGGCCCACACTACTTTCAAAATCCCTGTCCTGATAAAATATCAGACTGGGGACTTTGTAAGACTTCTTCTATTTGTCTAGATATGGTTTTATATTTGTTTATTTTTGAATAAGTGCTCTAGAAGAACTTGTGTACCTCTAAGAACTGAAGGTCACATTATTGAAATGACACGAGAGGGTCCATGTTGGTGTTAGGATCATTGTGCTTTCTCTGGGCCAGCAGAGGGAGCTCAATGATAAATTATTGGTTATAAGTGTGTTCCCATTTGAGTTCACAAATCCCCTTTTTATAAAGGTAGGCTTTATTCTAGATCAAAACCATTATTTATTTTTAAATGTATTTTAAGTAACTACAGCACCACTAGGGCAATGTGTTTATTTTATTTAGTTAGGAGATTGGATAGCTCATACTTGGCAGCATTTAAATAAGACTGAAGTCAGCCAAAATATTTCAAAATAGTAACTTTTCTTCTGCCTTCCCAGATTTCTCAGTGGACTTAACTAGACTTGGTGTTCTTTTTCTTCAGCATGGTACCATGCA